GCAGCACTGGGGTTACAGGTATATGTGGCCAGGCCAGATTTTCCTAAGTGAGTGCAAGGGGTTCAAACTCAGGCTCATTTGCTTGTACGGCAAGCTCTATCACCCACTGAGCCATGTCCTCAACCCTTCAAATGAATTTTTAATCATATAAATACAATTTCCCTCTAACACCACAAAACCTGCCTAGCATGTTCATAGTTTCCTGTTTTTTGTTTGTTTGTTTTTTTGTTTTTCTGGCAAACTGTGTGCAGTCTATTTCTGTTAAGCCTCTATCTTCTTCTGCCCCTGACTCTCCACAGAGGATTCCTCCAAGAACTGACCCTGGAATAAGGCCAGACTTTGGAGATGGCTCAGCAGCCCCTGACCTGTGGTGTCCACGCTTCCAAACTTATCTCCTCAGGGTTGTCCCTGACCTGGATGGGTCCAGTGTGATGGCACTCACTTGTGCGACACAAGTGCCTGTGGGTAACAATACTGGAGTTGTGCTCATGCAGAGGGAGGTGGCTCAGTGCTGATCATGGGATCCTGGACATCCCGGTGCTTATCTGTAAACAAGGGATTTGGAGCCACAGATTCCTTTCTTTTCCAGGATCCCTGATGTTACTTCCATCACATGGAGAACAACCTCCCAGTATTGACCCCTGATGACCCTAGATCAACTGACCCCTCAGCTTTGCCCTGTGTCCTATGAAATGGGTCCTTCTCATCCAAGAATAATTTTTTTTTACTTGGAAGAGGAAAAGGTTTGTTTGACTTACACAGTTACAGTCCATCTTCGAGGGAAGGAAGCCAGGGAAGGAGCTCAAGCCGAACCTTGGAGGCAGGAACACTGCTTACTGGCTTGCTTCCCCTGGCTTGCTCAGTTTGCTTTCTTTTTTTAACTAAAAAAAAAAACTTTATTGAGAATTTCATACATAAGGTGTTTTGATCAGATCCACGGCCATTCCCTCCCCTCCAACACCTCTCCTTTCTCTTTCTTTCTTTCTTTCTTTCTTTCTTTCTTTCATTCTTTCTTTCTTTCAATGTGGCTTTTTGCTACTGTGACATTCCCCCTCTGAAGAGGTAACCCTAAAATCCTTTAGGGATTAGATAAGAGCTCCCAAATACTTTTGACATTTTTGGCCTTTGGAACATGGTATGTTGCTAAGAGGCCCAAGGCCATTATGACTTTTAACCAAGAAACTAGCTACTTCTCTTTGGAGTCTCTTTTGCCCTAACTGCCTAGCCAGTTCCTACCTCCTATTCTTATCACACCATCCTCTGAAGAGGTTACCCAAGTTGTGGATAGGGAATCAGGATTCAGACCGATCTGGCTTCTTCCATGCTGAACAAGGACACAGGGTGAGGTAATTGCTGTATTCCGTTTTGGTCTTTTTTTTTATTTTTTAATTACACAACTCTTATCTCCAGGGAGAAAAGAAAGTCTTTGACTGGTGAATAGGAGATGTGAAGGAGAAGTAAAGGTATGAGTAGTTAGCATTACAAGTTCTAGACAGTGAACCAGAAAAAAACTCAGAACAGGGCAAATTTCAAATGTTCTTATCAGAGTCCATTGGGATTTCTTGACGACAGCTTCCAAAAGCATCCCTCTATTGGGTTCCTCCTCATTTTTCTTTTGTCTGTCAAGGCTGGACTCGAGAGTGATGGACTCAGGATTTGTTTTCAGGCACTTTGATAGCTATCAGAGTGGCTAGAATCAGTGTCAGTTCCCTCTCAAAGGCTCCTAGATAGGGGGAGAAAACAAATTTATCCATCATTTTAGAACAGTGCCTGGTTGTCTCCCTAAGCTACAGGTGGGCACTACAGTATTGCAGACCAAGATTTGAAGTCTTACATCTGAGCAGCACTTTCTGCTTAGAAACAAAATCATCAATTAGAAATAATCTCTAAATAACATTTTATACGGACTTAAGCCTAATGTCTGGGAAGTATAATCCCTTGAACTCTTAAAGAAATATACACTGTACAGCAGACTCTTCTGTGTGAAATAACTATCATCATCATGACTTCAGCTGTGCCTGATCGCTAAACATCATCACAGGTGGGCTTGTTGATGGTTGTGATCCTTCATTAAAGTGGGGGCAAGCAGGGTCAGAGGAATCTCACCGGAGTATCCAGCCACTCTTCCTAGCCAACTGTATTTAATTTGGCCCTAATCACACATGGTCTTCTGGATTTTGGGAGGACTAACATACATAATCTGGGGAAGGCTAGGAAGAGAAGGCTTGACCCATGCTGGGTAAAGGCTTTCCAGTGTGGATACCCTCAGGTCAGTCATACACCTCAGCAACCCCTCATCAGCTCTGTAAGTAAGCTCAGTAAGTTCATTGGTTCCCTGGGAAAACTTTAATCAAACATTTGTTTGACACTAGAAACTTAAAAGGGGATAAGCATTGCTTAGTATCCCCAGGAAAAGAATTCTCACCACAGAGGGAAAATTTATTTGCTAATGTTATTATGTCTCATAACTATTTAAAAAAGAAAATGATGATGTAAAAGATATTAAAAGGATATGGGAATGGAGATATTTTCCAAAATAAGCAGAGAAAAAATGAGAAAGCCTAAGCAAGTGATGAAGGTCTGTGTAGGTTTGCTATGACATATAAAGGATGCAACAAGAATAATACACACATAATCTTAAAATTTCTAAGGTCTTTGGGCTCCCTGATGAACTGCAATCTCAGAGCTGTAAGCTAAATAAACCTTTTCCTCTCCAAGTTGGTAGTGGTCAGAGTGTTTTGTCGCAGCAATGAACAACAAACCAGAACAGTTTGTTATGATATATAAAGGATGAAACAAAAATAATATACACATAATCTTAAAATGTCTATGGTCAGAGTTTAGTCAACTAGTTTAAGGAACAAAATACATATCTAGTCAAGGTTTATCTGAGAATATTTGGTTTTTTACCCAAGCTTTATCTACATAGCACATGATAATTAAAAGTACCAGACTGGTGGAACTAACCTTATTGGATGTTTAACAGCCATACTTTGAGGCCTATACTTATCTGGTGAGAGAGACTTAAAGGACCAGTTTTACTCCTTGCCCTCCAAGGTCAACTAAGTTCCAGGGGACTATGAGCACCTCTCATAATATTCTATTACTGTGGTGAGTCACCTGTCCTCCTGTTCAGGGAGGCCATGGAGACCCCACCAGATGGACTTGAACAAGTGTCCAGTCTACAAAGAGGAGGGTCAGCACAGAGGAATCATTTCCTCCATGCTTCCAAGTGAAGCCAGCCATAGTCGAGCAGGACCTTTGACTTATCTTCACATAGATGGAACTTGTAAAAGAAAGGACCCAGGGTCTCCTCCCAAGCCCATGTGACCCCTGAGGAACAGATCCTCCAACCACCTGAAGAGTAAAAATAAATTGATTTCTTTGGGCCAACTACATGGTCTTAAACACCCAAAAGGAAAGTATAACCAAAGATTAAAGTAATCAGGGATCTCTCTTTTTTTTTTACATTTTTTGGTCTTTTTTTATTGAGCTTTTAAAATTTCATTCATTTCCCACTCACACCCAGACCCCCTCCCCCATCCATGCCTCCTCCATCCCCCCACCCAACCCTATGCACTCTGCCATACATGCTGAGTCCTATTCATTCAGGTGTTTATACTCAAGTGCCCTTCAGTGTAAATGTGTCCACGGAATTCTAGTCAGCCTATCCAGTGGTCATATGTAAGTTATACTCTCCCTCACCCAGCAGCAATCAGTAGTTCTTGATCTAGTGCTGGCCCACTGCCTATTTCTCACCTCCCCTTTGGGCTCTTGTTTAATTGATGCATTTGATGCCACCACTGCCGCAGGCTCACATGAGCAAGCCTCCAGTGGCCTGGAAGCCTCCACCCCCTTATGCTCATGAGCCAGCTCTGGCTCTTACAATCTTTCTTCCTCCTCTTCCACAATGGTCCCTGAGACATGGGTAAGTGAGGTTCCATATAGGAGTCCCATCCTATACTCTACAGTCTCTTATTCTCAAAAACTTGGCTGGTTGTGGCCTTCTTTGTGCATCACACTCTGATGTACATGGAAGCCTCACTGGTAAGAATTGAGGGATGAGGATCTTTTGTTTCTCTTTCCTGCTCACAATCAAAATGATCATCAGATTTTGCACGTATTATAATGGACCATCTCTAAATGGTCCGAGCAGATAGGGACACATTTTAGTGGGTGCCTACATTTTGCAACATCATCAACCTCTCATGTCCCAAACCCAAGTGTTCAAGCTGGAAGGAGCTGGGAGTGACTTGCAAACATTAAAGAGAAATCAGCCCTAATCTCAGCAAGAATTCTACACCAGCAAACAGCCACACCCAGGAGGCAAGAAGAGCTCTGAAGGAGAGACTGAGGCATGCGATGTTGCTAAGAAAAGAAAGGGAGTTCCATACCAGGAACCATTCAGCAAAGGAAACCCACACCCAGTGCCGTGAGAGCATGTTTTGTTCCCTATTTCCCTATGTCTCTTCTGCACTCATCCCTAGCAGACAAGCCCCACATGAGCCGTGCAGTCAGGTACTCAGTGTGCCTCTGCTGTTCTGTCCTCGAAGCATCAACCTGGATCTTTCCTGAAGCATTCCCAGGACTGGGGACATGACTGGTCATGGTAAGGACCTCACAGTGCTGGCAGATGGATGGACTGAAAGAGTGAAGGGAATCCATCCCATGGGAAGGTTCTGAGGTGGAAAAACCAGCCCTCAACCACCCTCAACCAGAAGGGGTCAATAAGGCAGTCAGCAGGTCCACTGGTTGCTGCCTCGGGGCAGTCAGTGTGTTGAGGACAGAGCAGGTAGATGTGCGTGGGGTGGAGGAAGATACCATTTCTCTGAGAAGTGATTACAGAGAGTCTGGAGCCTGTCCAAGTGAAATCACTGGGGAAATGAGGTCCAAATATTCTCATTTCCTGTTTTTGTGAGGATGCTGACATGACCGCCTCTGAATGTCAAGACACCCTTGGTTGCCTGTCTCTGTGGCCTCGCACTGTGGTCCTGTCCATAAGCAGTTGGAGCTACCATGATCTTCTGTACCACAGCCCTGTTCTGTCTGGGTGAGCTATGAAAAGGGGGGTGGGAGAGACCTGGTCTTGGGGATACCCTGCCCCACAGTCCACTACTGGCCTTCAGAAAACCCTGGGGGTGCTCAGGAGGTTCTAGGGGAGGGGAGGACCTGCTCAGGCTTCAAGGGAAAACCTCTCACAAGGAACTCTCTTTCCAGGACTAAATCTGGGCCTCAGGACCCCTGTGCTGGCAGGTAAGCATTCCCTGCTCCCTGCTACCCCAGGTCAGTACACCTCACTGGGAATCCCATGAACAGTGAGGATGGCGAACAGTAGGGGTTGTCTGATCCTGGAGATAGCAGGAGAAGCCTTGGATTAAGCACTGGAATCCAAAGGGGGATGTTCTGGGGCTGAGCCTCTGATTTATTTTGGAGGGACCCTCCCCAAAGCTACCCTCAAGTCTCAGCCAGGCTCTGTGGTCATGATCCAGTGGCCTCAGGTGTTCAGGAGTACTGTTTCTATACAGAGGGAAGCTCAGATTTCTGGTGAAAACAGACTCCTCTGGAGCCAGGGAATAAGGCTGAGCTCATCCTCCATCCATTGAACAGCACCATGGGTGATGATAAGCTGTTATTATGAACCCCCTTCTGGATTGTCAGAGCACAGGGACCCTCTTGGAGCTGGTGATATCAAATAAGATCATATCTAGGATCCTCAGCCCCTGGCTCTGCCCTTAGAAAAAAGGATCTGCTTTGTGGGGTGTGCCCCTCACAGCCCATCACTGAGGGACAGTATGTAAGCTGTGAGTCCATTTAACACACTCTCCCCTTCTCTCCTAGGAGACCCCTACAGCAAACCCAGACTGTCAGCCCTGCCCAGCTCTGTGGTGAATTCAGGAGAGAATGTGACCTTTCAATGTATCTCGTGGCAGAGATACGACGGGTTCATTCTGTCCAGTGAAGGAGAACAGACGTCCTCCAGGATGCTGGACTCGCAATATATTTTCACTGGGCATTTGCAAGCCATGTTTACTGTGGGCCCCATGACCCCCAGCAACAGAGGGATATTCAGATGTTATGGCTACTACAAAAGAAACCCACAGAAGTGGTCAGAACCCAGCAACTCCTTGGAGATACACATATCAGGTGAGAAAGCTCCATCCTTGACTGATTCCTTGGTGACTCCACAAGCTCTGCTTCCAGCGGACTGGGAAGCCAAGTGCAGGCTCTGGCTCCTAAGCCAGAGTCCCAGTGAGTGAGAGGGCTTGATGGGAGATAGCAGGGGTTTGGCAGTAACCGGTTCAAACCCAAACTCACGTTCCCTCCAGGATTATACGGGAATCCTTTCCTTCTGTGGGAACCTGGCCCTCCTGGGTTCCTTTGACATTGTCTATGATAGAATTGGTCTGTTCCATGAAACAGGATGTGACTCCCTTGACTGGCAGCCCCACTCTCAGTCTTAGGTTGAGTTTCCCTTGGCCTTTTAGCTGCTTCCTTATAAATCAGTAGAGAAGTTTAGATTCACACAGCCTCTCCACTGAGTTGCTGGTGTATAGTGACCACATGATCTTATTATTATTATTATTACCACTACTATTGTTATTACTATTATCATTATTGTTAAGGTTTTATTTTTTAATTATTTATTATTTTATGTGTATGAGTGTACTGCCTGCATGTATGTAAGTGCACCCATGTTGTGCAATGTGCATGGAGGTCAGAGAGGGCATCAAATCCCCTGGAACTGGAGTTACAGATGATTGTCAGCCGCCATGTGGGTGCTGGGATTTGAACCTGGCCTGGTCCTCTGCAAGAACAGCCAGTGCTCTTAACCACTGAGCCATCCCTCCAGTCCCAAGGTTTTATATTTATTATGCTTATTATTCATTTAATTCTTCTTCAAAACTGTTAACGACAAAATTATCTTAAAATTTCCTTTTTGTATATTTTCATTGAATTTTCGTGCATGTCATATAAAATCTTTCAATCATCTTTATACCCTGTCTGCCCCCCCCCCATATCCCCCCTCTGGATTTCACACATTCAGTCATATATGTTAAGGCTTATTGAGTCAAGTTTGTGTCCCCAGATGTTCCTCAGTACAAGTTCATCCACTAGTGTCTAGTCAGCCCATCTAGAATCACTCCCTTAAGAAATCAACCAGCAGTAATCAGCTGCCAAGTTTCTTGCTACCTTGGGAACTGTTGTCCATTTCCCCAGTTCTATGCTGGGTTTTTGTGTGATTAAGTTTGCGTGGGTCTTGTGCATGATGACACCATTACTGTAAGATCATATGAGCAAGTTCCGGAGGCCTGGAAGACTCAGTTTCCTTATGGCCATGCACCAACCCTGGCTCTTACAATCTTTCCACCCCCTCCTCTACAGTGGTGGCTGAGCCCTGGGTGAGTGAGGTTTAATATAGGAGTCCTGTCCTGGGACACACACTCTGTGATCTCTTATTCTCTAAAACTTGGCCAGTCATAGCCTTCTATATGCACTGTACTCTGTTGCATGAGGAAGCTTTGCTGGTGAGGGTTGAGAAACGCATTAGTAAGTCACACCCCATGATAATCTTGATCAGATGTAAGGAGCCCACCAGGTCCAGGCAGGAGCACAGATCCTTCACAAGTGCTGAGAGAGCCAAGGAGGTGACAGCGATGATAAGGGATGGAGAGCTCAGGGAGGAAGCAAGACAGAAACAGGGTAAGGAATGAACGGAAAGGGCTAGAGAAAATGGATGGACAGAGGCAAAGCCCTCAGAGGACTCAGCTCAGAGCAGGGGCAGGCCCTCCCTCTTCTCACATCCTTCTCTCCAGATCAGCTCCCTGTCAACCCTTCTCAGTGCAACCCTCGGAGTAGCAAGGGACCCTGGTGCGGTAATCTAATCATCAAGCCTGGTGGACAGTTTCCCGTTATATAAAAAGGGGGCAGTCAACACTCCCCTGTGCCTAGGATCTAACATGGTGGCTATGCTGTACTAGACAAAATTCTCTATGAGTTCTGTGATCCCTGGACCTGCAGGTGCTCAAGGCTCTTCCCCATCCCTATCAGTAACCCAGGGTCCCCTGTGGTGCTCATGGACTCAGGTGAGGGGCCACTGACCTGTCCTCCCTGAGCTCAAAGGCTCATTCATTGCCCTTTCCCCAGGAGAACTCTTGGTGTGGAGAGAAAGGAGGGGATTCAGGGAGGGTCAGCCAGAGCGGGATTCACCCTTCATGGAGATCAGTATCAAGGACTACCCACCAGACCCTCTTTGTTACAGAAGCACGGAGATTACTTCTCAGCACGGCTGTGTGCACCTACTTCTTTCTACTCTGTTTTCTGGAACCTCCCAGACAATACTTTCTTGTACATATTTTGGTTTAAGATTTCGTGCCTTTAATCCCAGCACTCAGGAGGCAGGGGCAGGTGGACCTCTGTGAGATGGAGGCCAGCCTGGTCTACATAGTGAGTTCCAGGGCATCTGTGACCACAGGGAGACCCTGTATCAAAAAGATGAGAGAGAAAGAGGGGAGGGGGAGAGAGAGAGAGAAAAAAAAATCTACCACCAACTTTAGAAGACCAGATGAGAAAAAATTTGTCTTAATATCAAATTGTGAAAAATTTTGTCTTAACATCAAGTCTTTTCATTCAAGACATTTTGAAAGGATAGTTAATAGTATATCTGAGAGTATTTTAATTTTTAAAAATTATATACATATGGGCTGGAGAGATGGCTCAGAGGTTAAGAGCACTGACTGCTCTTGCAGAGGACCCAGGTTTGATTCCCAGCACCCACATGGTGGCTACGAATGGTCCTTAACTCCAGTTCCAGGGGAATCCAAAACCCTCTTCTGACCAAATAATAAATAAAAATATATTTTAAAAAATTATATACATACAAGGGAACATGAATGAATTAGCCAACTATTTTAATGATTTATAGTTAGGGTCTTTGAATGTGCTTTTTTTTAAGATATGGTATTTATTTTATTTCTTGGGCTGAGTTGTAATTTATAGTAGTGACCCCCAGGGAAGAGATGCAGATTTAGAAAGTCATTTTAGTAGGAAAAATTAACCTCAACTGAGCTATGAACACATTGTAAAACAGTCTGAAAAGATACCACATTTTAAAAATTACTTGAAGAAGCAAAAGTAAATTGTATTTCCTGTGGTGAGGGGCACACGGAAGAAGTGTGACAGATAAACGTTTCTTCATTTAAGCAGGAAACAGTGGGCTTTGTGTTTTGTCTTTACCATAAGAAATTACATAGGTGCTAATTAGGTGGGTTTTATTTTTCTTTTTGTATTATCAAATATGGCCTGAAAATACTTTAAGAAGAATTCTTAATAAGATTGTTAATAGAGATTAGCAAAATGTCTGTTTTTAAAGTAGGAGCAATTGAAAATTACAGGAATCCCATTTTAAGTGGGTTTAGATGTTCCTTCAAATAATTTTCACCTTAATGTTTTTTAAATCAAATTTTAAAAATATTTTATTATTTTTATTTTATGTGTCTGAGCGTATTGCCTGCATGTATGTGAGTGCACTCGTATCGTGCAGTGCCACGGAGGTCAGAAGAGTGTGTCGCATTCTCTGGAGCTGGAGTAAGGACAGTTCATAGCCGCCATGTGGGTGCTGGGAATTGAACCCGGGTCCTCTGCAAGAGCAGTCAGTGCTCTTAACCACTGAGCCATCTCTCCTGCACCCTTAATATTTTTTTTAACTTTGAGTGTTTTATATATTCTAAGTAATAAAGTATACAAGGAAAGCTTTTAATTTTTTATTAATTTATTTCATATTTAGATAGGGTAACCTCCCCTTCAAGTACTTTTTAGCCAGTGATTTTTGATTTACTGATAAAAGTCACATCAATCACATTAAGGTAGACGTTGCACTTCTTTAGAAAGTTTTAAACAATTTTATTTATTCATTTTATTGAGTTTTGGGGCATTTCATATAATACATCTTAATCAAATTTAGACCCCCTCTCCCCTCCCTGCCCCCTACAACCCTCCCACCAGATTTCAGGTAGTCTGTCATATATGTTAAGTCCTATACAGTCAAGCATTTCTATCCAGGTGTCCCTCAGTGCAAGTTCATCCACCAAAGTCTAGTCAGCCTATCTAGAGTCACTCCCTTGAAGAAGATGGACTCTCCCTCACACTTTGCCAGTAGTTCCTTGGCTATGGCTGGGGCCTGCTGTCCATTTCCCCCACTCCATGCTGTGATTGAGTAGGCGTGGGTCTTTAAAAAATACATTAATTAAAGTTTATTATGATCAGCAGCTGGTTAAGGGAAATGCAGGTAGATGAAAAATTAAAGTGTTTTCATCACAAACTAAAAAACAATTTTATTGAATTTTTGCGATTTTTATACAATATAATTTAATGGTATTTAGATCCCCTCCCCTATCTGCACCTCTCCTCAGTTACTCACATGAATTCACAGCAATGGTGGCGATATGCACAAGTCCTACGTAAGCTCAAACCAGACAAACTCCCAGCATAGACACAGGGGAGTGGACAAAAAAAATCCCAACCTAACCTAAGGAACATTTGGCAACTGACGGCTGCTGGGAGGGAAAGAGACAATCTCTTTCAGGGATGGGACTCTTGGTAGGCTGACAAGGCTCCAGTGGATGGAAGGACATTTGGGGATGCAGATCAGATTCTTTAAAAAACAGTTATTGGCATATATTCACTGTAGAAAGTGAGGAGTTTCGTAGATACTTTCATGCACATATATTGCGTGGTTTTACCAGTCACACCATCGTCCTTCCTCTTTCTCGCTTCCTCTTTCACTAGTACCATGCGAGCCTTCGGGCCTGCTTCAGGTTTCATATCCATATCCACAGATGCACACACACATTTATGTTCATGTATGTGTATATATGCACATGTATATGATTTTGTGTATCTACATATAACATCCACAATGGAAAGCATATTTTATGGCATTTATCTTTCTGAGTCTGATTTATTTGGCTTAAAAATTGTTTTCATTTCCCTGAAAACAATTTTTCCTTCACACAAATTGTTCTTGCTTCAAATATGTGTATCTGTAATTACATATGTAACATATAAACATATATATCTTTAACTGTAACATAATATGTTTGCATGCATTTATAATGACAAAAATCCCATCCACATCAATATTTCCAACTAGTATGTTTTTACATGTGTATTATTTACCATTTGGTGTAGATATACATTACCACTCATTAGAACACGTGTGTTGTGAGTGTATCTCCATCTCTTTGTGAGTTTTCTGTGTGATGGTTGGTTAATGAGATGCTCAACAGATGATGAGACACCAACATGGGAACTGGCTGTAGGGACGTCAGCGATTTGTACCCCTGATGTTCAGGAGTCCCTGAGAAGGAGGCTCTGCCCCAAGATCTTGGCTTTCAGTTGCTGAATTAGCGGAAACCCATCCCCTGGGGAATTATCTTACACTATCTTGCACCTCAGACTGAGCAGAGGGCACAGGAGGGCTCCACTGGTTTTGAAATGGGAGACCATTTTTCTCCTCCTGACCTCTCAGGAGTCAGATACACCTTCTTCTAGAGTGGTTCAAGTGTAAGTTCTGGATTCACAGAGAGCAGTAGAGCTGAGGGATCCAGTAAGAAATTCGAGGGGAGCCTGTTCCAGCACGGGAAGTGTTTTCCAGGCTCTTTATAAAGTTATGTAAGGAGACTCACGTGCACTTATGAGAAAGAGGAGATAAAGGAAATAGCGTAAGTCTCAGGAGAAAGGCTCGGGTCTCTCAAATACTTCATGCATCTTACTCCTTTCCATGTTTCTCAGGAGCATCTGAGACCATCAACCCATCAGAATCCAAGACAGGTGAGTAAGGAGAATTCTTAAAGGACTTGATGCAGAAAATCAAGTCTTATCCAGGGGAGGCAAATGCTGTGGGCAGATGACCACTCATCTCGGAGTGACTTTGATTTGCCCTGACCCCTTTGTCCACGATCCCCAGCTGCACAGCCCCAGGATCACACAGTGGAGAATCTTATCCGGATTGCTATGGCTGGCTTGGTTCTCCTGGTCTTTGGGAGTCTCCTGTTTAAGACTTGGTACAGTCAGAGAAGGACCTGACATGTATCTGAGTCTGAGGGATGAACAGAAGCAACCACAGCACACCTTTCTTGGTGGCGGAGTCTGGGAAATAAACCTGAGGAATCAAGATTGTAAGAAAATCTGGGGTTTATGTTGAAAACTGTTTTCAGAGAATGTCCAGGGAGCAAGTGTATTTTAGATGCAGGGAAAGATCTGGGTGTTGGTTTGGAGAGTTCTTTCTTACCAAACTAAGGCTCCTTCCCTCCACCTTGCTGTGGACTTTTGCTGACTGGCCTCCTCTTATTAGTCTATGTCCTAAGGGAACATCTTGTCTTAAAAGCCTTGTTGGATTTTCACTTCTGTGTGTTTTCTGATTTCCCACACTTTAATGTAACACACTGGTGTTTGAATAAACTCTCTCACAGGGCACTGTTGACATGGCTTTGAAAATCTCATTTTCCTAAAACAAAGTCCTGATATGTGGCATTTGATGATTATTGTTTATTATCTCTTCTCAGCCAACTTCACGACATCAATGTAACACCATGTGTGAAGTTTGGAAGTGATACATGATGCTGATGTATTTTCAATGTCAAATTCCACTGTCCATGGCTGGTATATGCAAAAGCAATTGACATGTGAATTGATCAGCCTGGAATCATTTTGCTGAAGCCACTGATTAATTCTATGAAGTTACTTTTGTAAACTAATTTAGAATTTCTGCATGGACCATCACAGGACCTGCAAACAATGCCAAGTGCAGTTCTTCCTTTCCTTTTTGATTTACTTCGCTGATCTTATTATTAGCTGTGACTTGGCGTACGAGACAAAAATGTATGGAAAGAGTACACGTCACTGTCTTTGCTTCTTCCTGATTTAATCCGAAATCTCTGGTTTCTCACCTTCAAAACTGGGGTTAATTTTAGGTTTCTTTGTGTATGATCTTGTTCAGATGGAAGAAGTTCTCTATTCTTAATTGACTCTGAGTGTTCATGGGGAATGGGTACTGGGCATTGACAAATGCCATCTCCGCATCTACACCTGTGCTTCGTCGTGTGCATTCCCACTTCCGCCTTGTTCTAATGGATGATAGTAATTGATCATTGAATGTTAAAACGGGTTTACATAACCAAGTAAAGTACGCTCGTTTGTGATGTACAAATCCTTTTCCACACCATTGGATTAAATTTGCATGACTGAAAATAGGCTACGTTCTGATAAAGATTTAGGAGATGATTTTCATTGTGCAAACGTCACAGAATATACTTAACACAAAGTCACGTGAATACAACTACATAGGTAATTTGATCTTATGGCATCACCATCAGTTGTGTGGTCTGTCATGTTCCAGAATTGTGTTATGTGGTGCATGCTTGATTTTTTTCCCTTTTTATTTATTTTTATTTTATGTGTATGAGTGTATTGCCTGCATGTGTGTGAGTGCACTGTGTCATACAGTGCTCAAGGAGGTCAGAAGAGGGCGTTGGATCCCCTGAAACTGGAGTTATGGATGGTTGTGAGCCACCATGGGGGTGCTGGGAACTGAACTCAGCTCTGCAGGAGCAGCCAGTGCTCTTAACCACTGAGCCATCTCTCCCCCCCCCCCCCCACTGTGTCACTTTTCGGCCCTGAGTGTCCAGCTGCCTGAGTGAACTGCTCTGCCGCTTTCTTCCTCTAGCATTTGACCAAGCTTTCCTAAAAAGGAGAGGCCTGTGTGTACCTTCCATGTACTCTTCCAGTCCCCATAGAAAGCTGTTCCTGGTCCTGTCATGATTTTATCAGAGTTGGGAAGGCTCACACTTTGATCTCACTGGAAGCTTTGGAAGAGAAGACATGTCCTGGTCCAGGGCCTTGGACTCTGACAGGGTATGCAGACCATGGTCCCCGGAAAGAGAAGAAGTGGGACTGAGATCCCACACGGGGCCCACCCATCCCAGAGGTTCTGGTCTTTCTCACTGTAGTCTGAGCACGTGACCCCAAGAAACCCAGCACTTTGGGGAAGAAGGAGGGCTGCTGGGGGAAGGGCCAGCAGAACTTACTGGTCCCGTCTCAGGGAGGAAGCAGGGTCTTCCTAACTTCACCCATTCCTGACACTTAGTACTTCAGAAGCTGCAGTCTGAAGCTGTGAGAAAAGGGGGTGGTACCCAAAGTGAACCAAGAGTCAAAGGGCTGGGTGAGCAAAACAGAGATAACCAACCCATGGGAAGTCCCAGGCGCTCCCCTTATACCCGCCAGTCCACTCTATGCTGGGAACAGAGAAGGGGAAGTTACCTTGGCAAAAGTCCCAGCCTCTGACCTCCCTACCTCACTCTCACAGTGAGTGGGGCGGACACCACCTGTCTATGGGGTCCCATAAAGAAAGTAACTTTGTCCCTAAGTTACTCTAGGGCTCATGAGGTCAGTGAGGAGGAGACCCCTGCCTTAGATCTCAGAGTTACTGGGTTACAGTGTCAATACTCCGGATTTGCATATTCCTGGATTCTCCTTGTTCATTGGGTGAGAACTGGGGTATGAATCCACAGATCTTGGCCTGCAGCACCTGGGAACAAATGCCCCTAGTGAGCGAAGAACTGGAATACAGAGGTCAGTGCAGTGTGGTGGAGAGGTTGCCCAGGCCTTACAGGCCCTTACAGCTCCTAGGCATATCAGCGGCAGCGGCTGCTGTGTAGCAAGTTCTTCTGCGTTAAAGCATTCTATCCTGAGGGAGTTTTGCTCGGGGCTAGGAAGTAAACAACTCACAAGTCTCAGGCAGTCCCTGTAACTTTCCAAATTCACAAGGCCCTTCTTTCTGTAAGGTTATATAAACAGGAAAGACTGGGAAGGGGAGATTCTCTGACATGTCAGGCAGCCTACGCAGTGGTGCACAGAGTGCCGGGGCTGCAGCTTCTGTGACTTGTCACCCGCGATGGAGTGAGCTTTTGGGAGCAGTTACCTTTGAGTCATTCCTGCTCCTGTAATCCCAAATCCACACTCCTGTTAGCAGCCAATAAATTCACTGGACTTCAGTATGGTGGTTATTTAGTCTGTTATCAGTTCCCTGTCTGAGGTAAGTGGACATTTGGTCATGTCTTTCAGGAAAATTCTCACCTAATAGCATTCTACCCAGAGAAGCATGTCCTTGAAAGTAAGCCACTCAAGGAAAATTCTCACCTAATAGCATTCTACCCAGAGAAGCATGTCCTTGAAAGTAAGCCACTCAAGAGCTGTGCCATGGGAAATTGTCCAAGGGGACAGATTCTGGTCTGGAAAATAGAAAGTAGCTCATCTTTTTGGGGCACCGGGCTGGGTCCTGTTAACGTGTCAGTTGTGGTCACATCTCTGTCCTTTTCCCGACCTCCATCATCCAGAATAGATGTATTGAAGGTGGTCCATATGGATGAGGCATAGGGTCTTGTTGAGGTCCAGGACAGCAGTGCCACTCTTAAACACAAAGGACATCCACCAGACAGCTAGACCCCAGTGCAATGGAGAACAGACAGCACACAGTGAGGAGAAACATCCACTATACACAACTTACCTTGGAGCTGGAGAGGTGGCTCAGCAGTTATGAGCACTGGCCGCTCTTGCAGAGGATCCAGATTCGATTCCCAGCACCCACATGGCAGCAACAACTGTCCATAACTCCAGTTCCAGATGATCCAACACCCTATTCTGACCTCTGCCACTGCATTGCATGACACAGGTGCACTTACATACATGCAGACAATACATTCATATGCATACAATAAAAATAATAAATAAAATATGTTTTTAAACAACTTACCTTGAACTTCCAAATATACTAGCACTGTTGCAGAAGGGCAGTAAAATAATTATTATAGTGGTTGGGAAATACATGTTTAGCATATATTAGGCCTGGGTCCAGTCAGTGGCACCAAAATAAAAGTAAATGAGTTATAAATGTGATTTTTTTTTTCTATTTTCAGGAAATTGAACAAATAAATGGAAGATGTAAAACAACTGGAACTTTAGGTGAGGAAAACTGTCATAAGTTAAAAGAAAAGTACACAGATGCCTTACTGGTAGGTCAGACACGACAGAACAAGAGAATAGTGAACACAACCAGTAAGCAAAAGAGGAATAGAAAGTTAAAAAATGAAATCGCATCAATGACGTTGGACCAGTATCAAGGGTGAGGAGACGGCGTGTTTGGTAAAGTGCTTGCGTCACAAGCACAAAAACCCAAGTTTACATTCCAGAGCCCATGCAGAAGAAGCCAGGTGTGGCCACACGATTGTAACCTCGGCTTTAGTGAGGAAGAGAGGGAGTTGCTGCCTGACCAACCCATCCTCCTCGGATCCCTCACCCTTGAGGTGGTGAGAGACCCTGTGTCAAATGCCAGTGCCAGCCGGCCAAGATGGACAGTACCTGAAAGGGGGAGTGAGGATTGACAGAAAAAACAAGAGACAGAAAAGATACCTGGGAGGACTGTCAGTAGAGACTTCAGCCCCGGTTTATTTTAGCGCTGCCTTTTTATACAGAACATCAGAGAGAGCCACTGTTTGCTTGACTCAATTAGTTTCAACAGCTGTTTTCCCCACCTGTGTCTGAGGGTCAAGGAGCAGTCAAATACTTGTGAACTCCACCATAGAAACACATTCCTCCTGACTTGGCAGATTAGGTACTGGTGTGCATGACACAAACTCAGTAAACAAGCAAGCCTGCCACAGCTCGATGTACATAATGGCTGCGCTTATATCAATAGCTCCCAACAGTCAAAAGACAGGTTCACAACACTTGAGGAATGACATCTGAGGTTGACCTCTGGCCTCCATATGCATGTGCAGACATGTCTGTGCACTCCGTACACACATGGACCCGCACACGCACATGCACAAACCCATACATGTAAAGACACATAATTTGAAATAAGAAAACATGGAAGACATAGAGGCCAAAAGTTCTGAAAACTGGATGAAAATTCCAAGCCCATATGGGCCTTGGTGTGCATCTTGCACATTGGTTTCTGGGTCCCAGAAATTGCTGAAGTATTGATAAGAAGCAAGGAAATACAAATTTGTACAGTGAAACAGTGTTACGTATTAAAGTATGGATGGACTTTGGAGGACATTCGATGAAAGAGTTGGACACAATGGGTCACATAGTGCATAATCCCATCCCTATGACGTGTTCAGAATAGACAAACCCACATGCAGAAATGGCGCTGAGGAGAGTGGGCGTGGGCACTGGCTGCTTGATGAGCATGGGATTCTCCTGGGGGTGGTGACAATGTCTAGGAACTAGATACAGGTGGACACTGCGTAACACTGGGAATGACTCTACATCACTGAAGTCTGTACCTCCAAGTCTTTAATGGTTAATTTTATGCCACGTGAACTGTGGGTCACTAAGAAAAGTGAAAAAAATTTCGATACCAGTTAAGTTCCTTGTACCCTAGGTAGGAGTACCATGTTCCATATGATCTTAAAGAAATGG